AATTAGCAAACATTTTTAATATGGAGTTAAATACCATAATACAAACATAAGAAAATATACTTTAAGAGTCACATAAAATTTATAAAATAATTGTAATTATGTTTGTTAAACCTAAAATCAATAAAACATCATTATGGGACAATTCCAACTGGATTCAAAAACTGATTTTTTCGTGAGTATACATTTTGGTTTGTAAATTGTCGCCGGGAAATCATAAAGTTACTTTATTATGATAGTATAAAATTTAAGGTTAATTTATTTGTGACAATTTTATGCCCTAGGTGGATATATCCTCTATTTTTAAAGGGTATGCGAAATAATCGTTTGGATTTTGACGACATGTATCGGTGCTCACAATACGACGCCTCCGAGTATTTGGTTCAATGTTTAGAGAGGTTTTGAGAATAACTTATTTATTTCATTTTCAAATAAGCATGTTCTCATTTATATAATATAAATAAAATTATAATCACAATAACTTTATGCTATATGACATTATACTATATTTTTCAGAAATTGGAACATTGAACTAAAGAAAAAAACTCCAAGATTGTATATTGCTTTATTCAGGACTGTTGCTAAATATTCAATTTTACCATTTATATTGCTTTTATTAATTGTGAGTTATTTATAAAAATTATCATATTATCATTTATATAATAGATTTGATTATATATGATTATGCCATGAATAAGGTATAAATTACAAAAAATATTAAAAGATTATTTTTACCTAGACGTGCACCTAGCCTCTTGCTACTGTATTTTACAAATATATATTTATTATAGGAATGTGTGGTCCTTTTGGCACAGCCCATACTACTCGGATATGTTATTGATTATTTTTATAGCTCTGACCTCATAAAATATGACCATGCTTGTATGGCCGCCGGGGGTGTTTGTTTGTGCGCCCTATTATTCATAGTCTTTTACAATGCCACTTTGAATCTTTTTAAACAAGTGGGAATGCGCGCCCGAAGTGCCTGCTGTACTCTAATGTATAAAAAGGTCTGGTAAAATATTTTAAATATACTGTACATATAATATATTTCAATATGATTTTAAAAATAGTCACTTAAACTGAACCAGTTATCAATGGGAAAGACAACTGTGGGTCAGATTATAAACTTAATGTCTAACGATGCAACTAGATTTGATGAGGTACATGTATATAACTACTAAGTCAATCTACTAAATTCATTAATTTGATAATTATTTTATCTGATTATTTGAAAAAGGAATTATTCTATATAGCAACTTGAATTTGAATACTTTAGACATATAAAATTGTTCATTATGCATTTATAAAACAATCTAGATCATAAAATTCTGGGTATATTATATAATATTTTATCATGAATTATATTATTCACAGTTTAAATTAATTTATTATGTTTATAGAATTGCATTAAAGCAGCGGTTATGCCTAGCACATTTTGTCCATTCAAATAATTTTAATTTTAGATTAAAATTTTTATTAATTTACATAATATATTATAAATTTACATTATAAATGAATTTTGTAAATAATTAAGGTCAATGCTCACAATATGAATGAACAGTGTGCTATCTACTTTATATCTGCTAAACTCAAAAATTGTAAACTTATTTAATTAATGTTAAGTATAACACATAATAATTTTTAGAATTTAGTGATCTGTATTGTTTTAGAATTGCACAATCAAACAATTTAATATGTTTATACTTTTTATTATCCTATTTATTATAATAATTTTTTTTAGTTTGCAATATTTGCCAGTTATTTTATAATAGCGCCCATTCAGACAGCTATCACAATATATATAATGTACACATATATGGGATGGGCAAGTTTGGTGCCAGTTGGTTTTATAGTTTTACTTATAGTCTTTCAATTGTTCATGGGCAAAATGTTTTCAAAAGTTAGGTATGTGCATGTTAATATTGTATTTCATAATAGAATATTTGCCTGTCAATTATTCTATTAATTACTTAAAATTAATTACTTTTTAGTAATTTTTAGGCAAATGACAGCAAAACTCACTGACAAAAGGCTGCAATATATGGTTGAGATCATATCCGGTATGCGAGTCATCAAAATGTATTCCTGGGAACAGCCCTTCGCAGACCTCGTGGCTGAGGCACGAAAGTAAATGACCATCATTTATTAATATAAAATTTGTTAATTACTTATATAATATAATTTCAAAACAATTAGTCAAGAAATGTCGTATATACAGAAGTCTTGCTTTTTAAAGGCAATAAATGTGTCTCTTAATATTACGGCTTCAAACCTGATGTTAGTATCCAGTTTTATCACCTTGGTACTCACCGGTAATGTACTGACCGCTAAGGCAGTATTTGTATCAATGATGCTATTTATGAACGTAAGATACAGTATGACCTGGTACTTCCCACAGACAATCATGTTTGGCGCCGAGTTATTAGTTTCTTGCAATAGAATACAAGTAATATTAACCATAGTGTAAATTTTACACTGTAAAAGTTATATAATAATAACAACATTTAATTAATATTTTTTAGAAATTTTTACAATTAAAAGAAACAAAAATAAAATCCATTTGCAATTCAAATAAATCCCCCGAAATGTCCATTAATGGCATAACAGCCAAATGGAATAATGTATGAAAGAATATCTTTAAACATGCTGAACAACTACACATTTATTAACATGTTATAAATTATAAATAAATAATAGGAAAGCTCGTATCCAACCCTACACAATATTTCGGTGCATTTAAAACCCGGGGATTTATTGGCTGTGATCGGACCGGTGGGGGCGGGAAAGGTATGACACCATTGGATAATAGACTAGAAATTCTAAAATAATATTTTAAAACAATTTAGAGCTCATTATTGATGACAATCCTGAAAGAGCTGCCGGTGCTATCGGGAAGTATAGAAACGGTGGGATCGATAAGCTATGCCTCTCAGGAGTCCTGGAGTTTCAATAATAGTGTTCAAAATAATATACTTTTTGGTACCAAATATAATGAATCCCGATATAAAAGAGTGGTAGAGGTGTGCGCTTTGATGCGAGACTTTGAGTTATTTCCGTTCGGAGACAAGACATTAGTCGGTGAGAGAGGAGTACAGCTATCGGGGGGACAGAAGGCCCGCATCACGTTAGCCAGGTTTGTGTATTGCATTTTAAACTATGACATATTATGTATGGTCCACATTATTTTTAGTTAATGCCATTTAATCAGTTTTATTTTTAATTAAAAATTTAAAAATAATTTCCTCGATGTTATTTACCCCATTTTTAATTTATCATCAAAACCATCCATAATTTTGAATAGAAACAATTATAAATTAAATTCTGATAAATTAATTATAATTATTTATTTAATTAAGTTATACTATATATTTTCTAATTTGTGTGTTATGCAGAGCTCTGTACCGGAACTCAGACATCGTATTAATGGACGACCCGTTGAGTGCTGTCGACACTAGTGTTGCCGAACATATATTTAATAAGTAATGCAATGATTGTTATAATTATGATTACAAATAAGTCTAACATATAATGTATTCGCGATATAATGAACACCAGATGTATAGTCGACTACTTGTGCGACAAAATCCGTATTCTAGTCACACATCAAATCCAATTCATACGAAAAGCGACACAAATATTGGTTTTGAACGACGAGGGNCGACGAGGGAAAGTGTCTGGGATTGGGATCCTATGATGAGCTCCAGTCCCGGGGCTTAGACTTCATGTCTATTCTCAGCGATCGGGAGAGGGAAGCGGACGATAAGGCAGAGCAGAATAAAGATTCAAACAAACTGAACAGTTATGACAGTAAAATAAATGCCCCAAATATTTCACTGACTAATAGTATGACAATTATAAATGTAATTAATAATCATTTATAATATCTAGATCAGGAACGTCAAAAGACATGATTTAAGTAGATGTAGGTTTTGTGTTATGATTGTGATTCATACCTGAATAGTATTACTCACTATAATATTGTACATAAATGTTAAACATAATTTTGGTCTTTTATTGGCACTTTTGACGTTACTGATCTAGATAATAATAATTATAATTAATAATGTAATAATAATTTATGAAAATGGATGTTAAATATAAATATATTTTTAGTAAGGAGAAAGAGAAGGATAGCGACCCAAAAATAGCAGATGAGTGCCGGGAAACGGGTTCAATATCTGGCAAAGTATATTGCACATTTATTAAGGCAGGCACCGGACCTTTATTATTTTCCATCAATCTCTTTTTAACAATCATTGCTCAGGCTATTTATAACGGATCGGACTATTTTATAGCACAATGGTGAATAAACTTAAATTATCTCAATATATCAAGAATGTTTAATTTAATCAAAATATCCATTATTACAACAGGACTGACAAAAATCATAACACGGCTAATATTAACACTTCTGAGCAAAACAGAGATGTGATTATCTACTCCTCAATGATGGCCGCGCTGTTCATCGCATCCCTATTGAGAGCCATCACATGGTTTGTGATGTTTATGAGGGCTT